ACTTTATAAACTATATCTATGTCGACACTCTGTCCATTTCTGTCTAGGTGTCTAATAGAGCAAAAAATGCATAGGACACATGGCACCCATTACACTTCTCTCTCCCCTTTTTCTTCCTCTCACACTACCATAGGCACTCCACCACTGCCGCTGCTACCCATTTTTAAAGAAGAAAGTTAAAATGAAAATTATTTTTTTTACTAGCAAAGAGAAATATTTTACTAAATTATTTGTGTCAAGTGTGTTATGAGTGATACATTATAAATGTTATAAATTATTTGTGATATATGTTATAACATTGTAATAAAATGTATGTAATGTATGGCTTTTTTGAAGAGCTCCCTAACTTGGGAGGCAATGCAAGCATAGAGAGAGAGGGAGAGAGAGAAAGAGAGAGAGTAGTGCAGAGAAGAAGGAACCAAATGAAATGGCTCAATTGTGCACGCCTCCCCTATTCCCTGGCATAATTTTTATTCAAATATATATATGATGTGATACCATTTACAACAGAGGAAGCAAACTAAAGGCCAAAAGCATACCACTTAATTAAAAATAAACTACTAGTTATTAATTCAATTTGGAAATATTAAAAAGAAGATATGGACCAATAATAATAATCAATTCACCAAACTAATTTTTATTATGAGAGTTTGGCACATCTTTTAGACATAATTGTGCTAAACTTTGACCTTAAAACTATATATATATATATAGGGACTTCAAAAAGAGGGATGTATAATAAATCTAACTAACCATGATTGAAAAAAATTACAAAGATACCAGCCTGTGTCCTTTCACTTTCACTTTCACTTTCACTTTCATCATTTTTCCCATATGGTCTGTTCAATCAAAGGCATCCCCCCCAACCCAATCAATGTCATTCCAAGCCTAACTCTCACAGGCAACCAACACCTTTTATTTATTTTTTTCTTTTTCTTTTTTCATGTGGGAAAAAGTCAGATTAAGATGAGAATCTCTTCAAGCAAAACCAAAATACTGTTCCACTCTCTCTGTCTCTCTCTACACAAATTTTGATGAAATACCAAACTTTGGCAAACACTCCCTTCTATCAATTGATGATGAGAACTATTAATTAATATTAATATTTTACAGTACAAAAATGTTAAAAATTGATAATTTTGCTCCACTATTTATATCAATTTTCCAGCACAACCATCACCTCATATTTGTAACCCCTCTTCAATTTTTATAAAATACATCTAACTGTTTATAGAAATGTCAAAATTTATACTAATTTGACACTAAAAATAATGATGCTAAAATTAGACAATTTGAATGACAACTCCATTAAAGCACAAAACTGTTATAATGCAAGTATGATAACTCAAACAGCAGCAACACAATAATATGAATTGCATCTACAGAGAAACTATCAATAAGAGACCAACCTGATATGTTCGCAGCCAATTCTTCTTCTTTTTTTTAAAATGGAGGACGGGTTTGACTATACAACCTGATATGTTCAGAAAGCATATTTCGAATTACAAGCATGAACACGTCAATCACAATTTAAGAACAAAATTGTTCTTAAATCATACAATGATACCTACACTCTCTTTTTCATGTTTAAGAAATTCACAGGAGATGGAATGAGAAGGAATGCACTGACCTTTAAGAAATTCACAGTCGCTCACAGTCGGTCGTAGGTCGTCGTTCACAGTTGCTGCTGCTCGTCACTCCGGCAAAGGCCGTCGTTCACCCTCGTCGGTCACAGGAGATGGAACAAATTTGAGATTTTTGATTTTGAATGATTTTGATTTGAGGATTTCGGGGATTTTGGTTCTACTAACAGTTAGAGATTGGGATTTTGGAGATTTTAGGGATTTCGGTTTGAGAAATTTAGGAATGATTGAGGCGGAATGATTTTAGGGTCCTCGAATTCAAGTTTCGGTTTGAGCAATTTAGGAACCAATTTCGGTTTGAGGGATTTTGATTTTAGGGATTTTAGAGATATGAGGAATTTAGGAATTTGACCGCGAAATGAGATAGAACAGCGGGATACCAAATTTTATTTATTTGCGATGGTATATTTTAACCGTCGCAAATGAGCGTAATTAAGAAATGAAACGACATCGTTTTACCAGAGTTTTTTTGCGATGGGCTTCTGCCGTCGCAGATGGTCCACCATTTGCGACAGTAACATTTAACCGTCGCAAATAAGACGTTTGTTGCGACGGTATACCGTGCGTCGCCAATGTTTCTGCAAATTTCTTTTTACAATCTTTAGCGACGGAATACGCCCCGTCGTAAAAGTCCATGTTTCTCGACGGTAGATACACGCCGTCGCAAAGTCGTCTTTTGGCGACGGCAAATATATACCGTCGCAAAAAAATCTTTTTTTGGCGACGGCAACTATTTCCCGTCGCAAAAAACCCCTTTTTGCGACGGTAGTCACCCCGTCGCAAAAACCTCCGTGTTATTAGCCAGGTTTTCTTGTAGTGATATAATAGTCTAAAAAAATTTCTTAACGTAGCACTCTAATGTAACACACAAAAACTCCTTAGTGTAGCATGTAACACACAAAAACTACTTAATGTAACATTCTAATGTAACATACAAAAAAACTCCCTAATTACTTTTTCCAAACATAACACTTCAATATAACACTCCAAAAAATTTCCTTAGTATAACACTTTAATGTAACACATAAACAAAAATATTTGGTGTACTTTTGCCAAACATAACACTCCACTATATTACAAAAAAAAGAAAAAAAAAAGAATGTGAGATCTTTCAAACCATTCCAAAAGGAGCACAAATATTCCTTAGTAACTTTTGGCCAAATGTATAATTTCAAACTGTGAGTGTTACGTTTAGAAAAAGTACAATAAGGAGTTTTTTAATATTTTTGTGTGTTACATTGGAATATGTTACATTGGAATATTTTTGTGTCTTATATTTTTAATATAAGATAACGCACAGTTGGAAGGGTGGGCTAGGTACATCATCATGACCAAGCTAAGATCATTAAAGTTGGCATTGAAAAAATGGAACTGTGAGGTGTTTGGGAATATGGAGACTAGAATTAAAGAAGCTGAATCAGAACTACATACCATTGACTTGTTGGCTGAGTCTAGAATTCTCAATGAGGAAGAGATTGTGAAGAAAAAAGAGGTGCTAGGCATGGTCTGGAAACTCAGGAAGAGAAAGGAGTGGTTATGGTTACAAAAATCAAGGCTGGATTGGGCATTAAAAGGTGAAAAGAACACAAGTTTCTTCCATGTCATGGCAACAGTAAGACAAAGTAGGAATATGATTAATTCACTAAAGGTTGGGGAAACTATTTTAGAAAAGCGCAAGGATATTAAACAAGCAGCTGTTAATCATTTCAAGGCACACTTTGATGAAGTATGGAAAATCAGGCCTAGAATTAGTGGGCTCTTCAAGAAGGTGGATTGCAATCTAGCAAAGGATATACTGGAAAAAGATTTTTCAGAGTCCGAAGTGTGGAGAGCAATAAAAGAGCGTGATGGCAATAAAGCCCCAGGACCAGATGGGTTTAACATGATATGTTTTCAAAAGGGGTGGAAAGTTATGAAGAAAGACTTAATGAAGTTCATCAATGAATTTCATAAGAATAGTAAGTTGGGGTATGGAGTAAATTGTTTCTTTATTGTTTTGATACCTAAAAAGGATTGCCCATCCTCTTTTGGTGATTACAAGCCTATTAGCTTGATAAACTTAGTATATAAAATTTTATCTAAGGTTTTGGCTCACAGATTCAAGCAATTGCTGTCTTCTGTAATTGACAATGTCCGGTCTACTTTTTTGGGTGGGAGAAACATCATGGATGGAGTTTTCATTGCTAATGAGGTTGTGGAATGGTGGAAGAAATCCAAGAAGAAATGAATAATCCTTAAGTTGGATTTTGAAAAGGCATATGATTCGGCAAATTGGAATTTTCTGTTTAAAATGTTAGAGAATTTTGGATTTGGTTCTAGATGGATTGGGTGGATGAAAGAACGTATTTCTTCAGCAAGAGTATCTGTGCTTGTAAATGGTTCCCTATCTGAAGAGTTCAATCCCCAAAGAGGGTTAAGGCAAGGAGATCCACTCTCACCTTTTCTATTCAATGTTGTAGCTGAAGGGCTTAACATTTTAGTATTGAAAGCAAAGGAGTTGGGAATAATCAAAGGGGTGGAAGTGGGTTCTAGGAGGATTAATGTTTCCCATCTTCAGTTTGCGGATGATACTTTAGTTTTATGTGAAGCTGATTGGTCAGAAATTAAGGCCATGAAAAGAGTATTAAGATGTTTTGAAATAGTATCTAGGTTGAGAATAAACTTCCATAAAAGTGTAGTTTGTGGAGTGGGTGTGGATGATGAGTTGGTAAAGGAGTTTGCAGCTAAGCTTAATTGTTTGGGTCAAAAACTTCCTTTGAAGTACTTAGGGCTGCCACTAGGAGCCAATCCTAGTCGAAGACAAACTTGGAAACCAATTATTAACAAGGTCAAGTTGAAATTGGCAGGATGGAAAAGAAGACTTTTGTCATTTGCAGGAAGATTGGTTCTCATAAAATCAGTGCTGTCCTCATTGCCCACTTATTACATGTCCTTATTTAAGATACCAAAAGGTGTAGCTAAAGATATCAATAGATTGCAAGCAACATTCCTGTGGGGGGGTACAGAACTCAGGAAAAAAGTGCACCTGGTAAGATGGAAAGAAGTATTGTTGAATAAGAACCAAGGGGGTTTGGGAATCACAGATTTAAGTTTGGCAAATCAGTGTTTGCTATTAAAATGGTGGTGGAGGTATGCTTTGGAGGAGGGTACATGATGGAAAGAAGTTGTTTGCAGCATATATGGATCTGTTGGTAAGCAATGGTTGCCTTCGGTTACAGATTCAGGTCGTATGTCTAAAATCTGGAAGGGCATAGTGGGAGTAACAGTCAGCAATTCTGATCTGTATAATTTTTTTGGGGAGAATATGGTTATTCAATTGGTAATGGTCGGAGAATAAGCTTCTGGGATGATGTATGGATGGGGGAAGTTAGTCTCAAATCTCAATTCCCTAGATTGTACCAATTGAGTGAAGAGAAAGAGATCTCATTGAGCAATCTGATATCAAGGAAAGATCTGTCTAATGAATGGAGCTTTAGGTTTAGAAGATCTTTACATGCTTGGGAAGAGGAAGAAAATTCAAGGCTTATTGCTTTGCTGGATGTTGGTCCTTGTTTGCATATGGAACAAAGTGATTCCATGAGATGGAAAACAGGCCCAAATGGGCTTTTCAAGGTGAATACTATTTACAAATGGTGTCAATTGGCAAATGGTTTAAAATCCACCTCCACAGGGCTAATCTGGAATACTTTTGCTCCACTTAAATCCAAGTTTATCATGTGGTTAGCATGGAAAGACGGGTTAAAGACAACTGAGTTCCTGAATAGAATTGGAGTGTTGAGGGACAATGTTGCCTCATCTTGTATTTTTTGTAAAGAAGAAATGGAATCTTTGAACCACATTATTCTTTTCTGTTCTGTTATTTGGAAAATCAGGTCGAATATAATGCAGTGGTGGGGACTGCCATGGGTAGTTCCAGGGTCTTTAGAAGAGTTGCTACAATGGTGGATGAGTTGGAAGTTTAGGAAAAAGGAAAGTCAAGTTTGGAGAGCAATCCCAGCAGCTGTGATATGGTCAGTTTGGAAATGTAGGAATGATTACCTGTTCTCTAGTATACAGCCTAACCTGGTGGAACTATGTGAACTTATCAAAGTTAGGGTAGCTTTTTGGTGGAAATCTTAGGACCTAAAATGCTCATTTTCTATTACGAATGTTATCTATAAATTGCAGCAGGTGAGAAATTGCCTCTAAGCACAAGGTGAAAAGGATTGAGATCTGAGGAAGCTAGAGTCTGAACTGTAGTCTTGTGGTGTATGTTGCTCTTATGTTTGGCCTGCTAAGCAAGATTGAATCCAGTAATCAAAGGGGATCCTTATTCAGATGTAGAGTTATGCTAATGTCTGCTGCTATATGTTGATTTGTGGCTGTTGTTGAGTTGAATCATTAGGGCTATTGTTGTCTTGACCCGAACTTGCCCCCAAGGGTTAAGGACATAACCGGCCAGTAATCATGAGATTACCTACGGCCTCAAACCAAACCGGACATTACTCATCAGAGTAAAGGGGGCCAAAGGGAAGCAAAATTTAAATCTTTGTCCATAGAGCTGTGCTTACATGGCACATCATAACAACCATACATAGACATATTAATAACTCATAGCAGAACACACAGTAACATAAAGTTCTGTACAAACAGGATCATTTAAGACTAAGTCAACCCATGAAACTATGTACAACAGAATCAAAGTCTTCGCCAACATGACAAAATATAAATACACAACAAAAGGGCGAAGACGAGTCTCGTGCGTGAGACGCAAGGGCTAACTCTTCAAAACCTTGGTTGTTCCACACAGACTTCACTGAGGCTGGGTCTGGACCTCTCTTGACTTACCTACAAACACATGAATGAGCGTGAGCGAAAGCCCAGTGCATAATATCAATTAAAGAAAATGCATTGGAACAATATACATCGAACGGCCTTAGGCCCAATTCATATTTCTATCTAGTACATAAATAGATATGGATCAAGTAACTTCAGTTTCAAACACTTCGAACAGCCTCGGGCCCAATCCATTCATGTCAAACTGGCCTTTGGCCCATTCGTCTTTTATTCATGTCAGACTGGCCTCTGGCCCATTCATTCAAATCATACTGGCCTCTGGCCCATTCATTTTACCATTCAAATCATACTAGCCTCTAGCCCATTCATTCATTTATTCATGTCAAACTGGTCTTTGGCCCCTTCATTCTTTCATGTCAAACTGGCCTTTGGCCCATTCATACTTTCGTTCAAATCATTCTGGCCTCTGGTCCATTCATTCTATCATTCAGATCGTACTGGCCTCTGGCCCATTCATTCTATCGTTCAAATCATACTGGCCTCTGGCCCATTTATTCATTTATGTCAGACTGGCCTTTGGCCCATTCATTCATTCATTTATGTCAAACTGGCATTTGGCCTATTCATACTTTCATGTCAAACTGGCCTGCGGCCCATTCATTTGGCATAGCAAACATTGTCCACCAATCAAATCAATAAACTTATAAACTTACATAGAAGTAAGCAATTGGATAACAACATATTTCAGATATCTTTGTGAAGATATTACTCACAGTGATCGGTTGGTTGGTTTGCCCTGGAGCTTGACCCTACACATCACATAACACATACGGGTCACAAATGATTTAATCCGTTCTTTAATTCACATATTCCTCTTTAGGCTTTATTCTTATCCCTTTACTTCAATTACAATGCTCAATGTATGCCTAAGAGTACTTAGAAGTGAAAGAGAACAGAAACGAAACACAGAATGCATTTTTAAAATTTTTAGAAACAGGGTTCCCGCTCGAGCGTGGACTTCCCCGCTTGAGCGGACCCATGAGGTCTGCAAAAGTGCTGGTTACATCAAATTTACGCTCGAGCGCGAACTTGGTCTACATAGCTCCCCGCTCGAGCATGAACTTCCCCCGCTCGAGCGGACGTCATGACTGTAGAAAATACTGGGAGCTCGTATTTCCTGCTCGAGCGAACATCAAAATTTCTGGGTTTTCCAACAATGTTCTTGAGCTCAAATTCAACCTTCAAATCAATACATCTTGCATTTTATGGCTCAATCTTCACATAAACATGTACTAACATGGTACAAATACCAAATTACAACATTATGAAGCTCAATTCCATGAATTACTTACATGCATGACCCAAATTACCCCAACTTGCTTTCATGATAACAATTCCATGTATTTCAAACCCATTTCCTCATAAATTGTACATGCATATGGAATATAACTCCAATTTCAACTCAAATGGTGCAAATGGTGATCACAAGCATGAGTTCTAACCAAAATTCTACATGGATCATACATTTTGTGCTCAAACATGCAAATCCAAAGCAATTACACACATGCATGCATACATTGATCTCCAATTCACCAAAACCAACTCAATTCCATTTTAATTCTTGCTCTTGATTACTCAACTAGCTTGAATACACAAATCTACAAACATATACTCATGAATTCATGTTCAATTGCTCACCTAGAGGTTCAATTCTTCCAATCTATAGCAAATTCTTGAGCAATCTTCAAGATTTCCAAGCTTCAAGAGCAAAACTCCAATTTTTGAGCTCCCTCTCTCTCTAACCGACCCTCACCCTCCTTTTCAAGAGTTATTATCAGCCAAAATGTATAAGAAGAGAGAGGTTGAGTGCTTAGTGCCCCACTGTATACAATTTCCCTTAATTAAAATTATCAACATTACATATTTGAGTACTAAGTCATTAATTTAATCTATTTAATTCAATCCAGATCAATTTTCAATTAAATTTCACCGTAGGCTCTAAAAATTATGCCAATCACAATGGCGCAATCAATTTCGATTTATGTGGCCGATAGGGCCTTCAATTTAATTTCCAAAGCAGATAATCAAACAGATATTCCTACGGCGAATAGATAAAAATTCAAAACCACATATTTTCACATAATAGCGCACAAAATCATATCAAACACATAATCATATTCATATTAAGAACCAATTAGCATACTACGGAACAGGGATATCACAACTGCAGTATGCTAATTTGGTGCGCCTACTGCTGTAGGATGTCTTAGAGCTGCCTCCAGATGCAGTGTTATGCTAATTTGGTTGTGCCTGCTACTGTATGCTAATTTGGTGTTTTTTGTTTAGGAGTGCAGGATTGAGGCTGGTGTTTGCTGGTTGGTTGTTGGTCTGCCATATGGTATTGGAGGTCTGTTTGCTATATGAGGTTGATTGGTGGCTGCAAATAGGTGTCTGAGAATGATTGCTGCTGTATACTGTAGTTCAGAAGTCAGCTAGATGATGGTGGAAGCTGGACTGCTCTGTGTAGCTAGATGATGGTGGTATGCTGCTCATAAAAGGCCTCAAAAAGCAAGTTTGCTACTGGTTAGGGACTGTTAAGGTTGCTAAGTGTGTTTGCTAATATTGTTGCTGGTTCTTTGTTGTTTCCTCTTTCTTTCTTTTTGGTTCTTTTGATTGGTTCCTCACCAATCATGGGTTAAGTACTAGCAAAGGATTGTGCTACCTTATCAGTGCCAATCTAGTTGGGATTAGTAAGGTTAGTTATGATGTTTTTTGCATTTCCTTTCTTTGTTGATGTAAGTTTACACATGTATCTTGCTTTCTTCATCAATAAAGTTTTTCTTTGCTAATCACAAAATATATATATATATATATATATAAGATTTGTTTTAGAATTAGGGAAAATCTGAAACTTCTATAGTGTAAATTGTCCAAATGTATAATTTTGCATTTTGAAAAACTCACTTTTATCCTTAAAAAATTAAACCCAAACATGTAAGTGCCTACCTTTTTATGTAATTTTCACTTTAATGAGACTTTTGGATTTATAAGAAAAGATGGAGGACTAAACAGTTCACAAGATAACATTTTGAAATTTACTGGTAGTTCACCCTATAGTAAAAAGCTTATATTTGCTTTTCAAAATTTTCAAATTATGGTATAATAATTAATTTTAAGTAATTAATAGCCAATGGTATTTTTTTAAAAATCTATTTAAAATTTTAAATAAGTTAATTAATCTATTTAAAATTTTAAATAAGTTAATTAATCTATTTAAAATTTTAAATAAGTTAATTAATCTATTTAAAATTTTAAATAAGTTAATTAATCTATTTAAAATTTTAAATAAGTTAATTAATCTATTTAAAATTTTAAATAAGTTAATTAATCTATTTAAAATTTTAAATAAGTTAATTAATCTATTTAAAATTTTAAATAAGTTAATTAATCTATTTAAAATTTTAAATAAGTTAATTAATCTATTTAAAATTTTAAATAAGTTAATTAATCTATTTAAAATTTTAAATAAGTTAATTAATCTATTTAAAATTTTAAATAACTTTTATGCCTTAATTTACACATTTTAAAAAAAATTAATTAATCCATTTAAAAATTTAAATTTAAAAATTTGAAAAGAAAAGTTAATTAATCAATTTTAAAATATAAATTTTTGTACTACTAAAATATAGGAATAATTCACATTTCCTATAGATATATGTATATATATATATATATTATGTTTAATGGTTTTATATGTATCGACATTCTAATATATATGTTATAGCAAAGAGACATTTTATTTATAAATAAAAAAATAAAAAAACAGGTCCTGAAACCTCCAAAGTTTCATCCAAAAAATTCAAATTTTAGTGATTGAATAAAAATATTGGTTGTTGCCCTATCCTAAAAAATTTCATAACCAATTAACATATCTCACCAAAAGATTTTTCAAGATCATTAACTTGTAATCCCCGTAATTTTGTTTCCTTTTTTTAATATATTTTTAGATGAACAATTTTGTTTACTTAAACACCCAAGCTATACTTCCATAGCCTAAGGTAAGATCTTATACTTTTATGCCATCCTTTATACTTCAAAATGAAAACAAAAATGTTACCATTATCCATAATTCTTGTTTTCTTAAAAAATCATTACCATTATAATTACATCTCTCTAAATTCTAACTATTTTAACACTCGTTTGACATAAGATTACGAGGCTAAAATAAAATAAAATGACATTTTCAAACCACAATTATTTCATTTTTTCTCTCACAAAAATCAAAAAACACGTCCCAAATGAGACTTTTTAGTCTTAAACTAAAATAGCCAAAGAGTCAAAAAGTCAGAAAATCAACCTACATCCCAAATGAACCCTACAACTTTCCCTTCTACTTTGCTTGGCAACATCTTTATTTGGTGACATTAACTTATCGTAACCTCGACCATACCAAATTTGTACAACTCATCCACAACACTAATAGTATAACATCATGTATTGATTTTTAAGTACTGACCCTTATTTTTTATTATTATTATTATTATTTTTCTCATTCGTAATCTTGATTTGTTTTTATTTTCATTATTTTTATGTAACGTTCTTGTTATGGAATATAAATGTTACCTTTCAATATAAATGTGTTAGAAATGGGCGCCCATGTGGCATGACCATTTCAATGCTTTGAATTTATAACTGTAACTCCTGCATTAATGGGGTTTGTTACTCCTGCATTAATGGGGTTTGTAACTCCTGCCTTTATTGCAGAGGTTAATGGTGCATTAATGACCAGCCATAAAGGCTGGAGGCTTTTCCTCTCTCCCCTATACATGTATAAATTGAGACCCTCCTGTCAAGTCTAATAAATATTTTTCCAATTTATTGTCTCTTTCCCAAAAACAACGATCAAGCCATTTTGCACTGTGACTTGTGTGGGTGATACTCATTTTGTAGTATCACTCCACTGCTGTAGACACCCTATTTTTGACCGTCCTCAAGACTTGGACGCCACCGTTTGAACACTCGGTGATCATCCTTGTTTCTGTTCGTTTTGAGTTTCGAAAAGTCTTGGCTGCGCGCCTTGCCTTAGAATCTCTTAACTTCTCTGTTGTGTCTGGTTTTGCACCAAGAGCTTGTGGATGTGTTCTTGGGGGAAGGGGATGGCTTGTCGACCAAGTCTCCTGCCCACTGGCCACCTTTCTTTTCAATCGGCCAAATGTGATGGCCGACCGGCCAGTTTGACTGCCGGTCGGCCACTTCGATGGCCGATCGGCCAAATGTGGTTTTCAACAAATATCTTTGTAGACAGCTGGCAGCTGTCATTCCAGGCCATACCCCAGCCCATACCTGGACGTGGGTGTTCTGAGGAGCTGCAAATTGATATATATCTATATCAATCAAGCTCTCTCACATATCAACAAGGATAGATACAACTTGGAGCAAGTTTTTTTTTCTCTCTCTCTAGAATTCTCAGCTCTCTCTCTCTCTCTCTCTCTCTCTCTCTCTCTTCCTATATTGTGTGTATAGAAGCATATAAGTGCCCAAAAAGTGAGTGTTCTTCCCATTTCTTGAGCCTCCACCCTTGATCAAACTTGTCTATCTTGAAGAGGTGATCTTGGAGGTGTATTTGGAGCTCCTAAGGCTGATTTTGGTCCAAGAAGGACCTGTTTTGGTGCTGAGCTTTAAGGGTAAGACTCTTCTCCTCTTGAGCTCATTCTTGGTGTATTTATATAGCCATCTTTGCATGCTTCTTTTGGCCCGGTTTTCGACTGAAAAAACCTTTGTTTTTATGGATAAAAAATGATGGTTTAAAGCCCTTTTTGAGTTACAGGTGATCCACCCACTTTTGTAGCTTTTTGGCTATGTGTTGAGCCTTGTTCTAAAGCTTTTAAAACAACCTTTCTTTGGCCTTTAAACCACTGAATTCTAGTGGAATTTCAGTGGTGGAAAAGTTGTTTTGAGGTTCCAAATGAGAGGGGATAGCCTCCCCTCCTAGTTTCCTCATGTCATGCATTGTTGGCTTTGTAAAAGAACATCTTTTTTGGGTTGTTTTAGCTTAAGCCCAGTATGTTTTAGGCCCTATTTTGCCATGTTTCAGATCTATTTTGGGGTGGATAGGGCCCTTGTTGCTTATTTCTTGCACTTGTAGTGCAATCTCGCTTTCTAGCCTAACATGCTTCATGTTTTAGCCTAACTTCCTAACATGTGCTAGGTTAACTTTGGCCTACAATTGTTCATATCTCGGCATGTTTAAGCTCTGTTTTAACTTGTTTAGATGGTTTGTGTATGGCCTTGCATGGTTGTGGTTTGAGTGCTTAGAATGGCCTAAAAAAAAGCATGCTTTGCGAGTTTGTTTTGGTGCATGACCAGCATGTTTTTAGCTCATATTTGATATATAGAAACTCTGTTTTGAGCTGGATACAACTCTCATGCATTACATTACATAGTTGTAGTTCATGTGCTTCAAGAGCCCAATGAGTTGGTATACTATATCGCTTTGTTTTGCTGCAAGCATTTTCAGCATTGTTTTGGCATGTAGAAACACTGTTTTGAGGAGGTTGAGACCTGCATGCATCGTACCATATAGCTATGGTTTATGTGCTTCATTAGTCTCTTGCATGAGCATGCTTCATTGACTTGTTTTGGCCTTTGTTCCATGCACTTTAGCTACTGTTTTGAGGCTCCATAACTCTATTTTTGAGTTGATTTTATTGTTCAAGGCTTGCCTTGTGTGGTTACGGTGTAATGCTCTTGCATGCCTAGTCAATTGGTCCATTTGAGCATGAGTGCTTGAACCATTTGCATGTTGTAGTAGTGTCTTGCACACAATTTCAGAGCATGCTTCATGCCATTCATGCCATTTCCTCACATGTTTCACTTTCATTGCTTTGAAAGTAGCCTTGAGCCTCTTGTTGGTTTGAGCATGAAGTTGAGACGTTCATGCTTAATGGCTTTAATCCTCTTGAGGGTTTCTACTAGCCAACGGCATGAGGTCTTCTTCACACTCAAGGCACTTGAGGCTTAGGCCCTCTTTTCCATTAAAGGACTCTCATTTGGACTTAATCAATTAAAGGATGGATGGGTAATGCTAAAATGAGTGAATAAAACTGACCAAGTAAAATGGCAAGATAAGCATAACATGAGTTGGCATTGCATGTGTCAGGTGTTCGATCGGACGTTATATCGAATACAAGGCGAATTAGTCCATTTCATAATCAAAAGTGATGAAATGAGCTAATCCCCTTAGTCGTCAATCCCCTTGACCTCAACATGATAGGGTGTTGGCATTCATCTCTTTTGGTTGCATGCATTTACATCAAGTTGCAAACTTGGCCTCTTAGGCCATCATGCATCAAAATGCATAATTGATGGCCCGAGGGTCTGCTCCCTTGATCCTTGCATGATAGGGAG